AAATATCACTTTCTACCAAAAATGACAAAAATATTAACCAAAATTAGAGAATTGAAGATATCATCACGAAATGAACAAATCTGAGAAAGGTCTACATGTAGTATCTATATATGTAATATCAAAGCAATTGAACTTTTGGTTTTTAACAAGAAGTCGAAAATATCACTTTCTACCAAAAATGACAAAAATATTCACCAAAATTAGAGAATTGAAGATATCATCACGAAATGAACAAATCTGAGAGAGGTTACCCAAGGTACATATACAACAAGTATCAAAGCATTCAGGCTTGTAGTTTTCAAGAAGAAGTCGAAAAAGTAAAACATTGACACGGACGTCGGACAATCACTCATATGATAAGCTCCGCTCGACAAAGTCGACAGCGGAGCTAAAAAACAAGATGCCTGCAAGTCGACCGTCTTTGATCCAATTGCGAAATAAATCGTCATGGACATGTATCCTAACATGTTTAATCTATGTACCAAGTTTGAATGACGACTGACAAAGCATGTCCAAAATAAAACATTTTCAAAAAACAAGATGGCTGCCAGTCGGCCGTTTTGAATCGAATTACTAAACCACTGCATGTGCATATGTCCCACATAAAATACAAGGGATTCTGAGATATGATTCCGAACGAGGACTAATTACTTTCCGGCAGACAAATTATTTAATAACCATATTTTATTTCCTTGTTTAAAAACAACAACTTACATTACAGATTCAGCTACAATACAAATTTCCCATTTTCTTTAAAAAAAGTACAAAATATTCAGAAATTGAGTTTAATTTAACTCAATACCACTGAACTCACAAATAAAACAAAAAGAAATCAAAAATACTAACCAATCACCCAATATTGATATCACAAAAGTAGAAAATGGAAGAAATGAACAGAGAATGAAAGAAAAAAGTTGAATAATTTGATGATAGTTATACCATTTACCAAAGCTGAAAATACAAAGAAAAAAACAATTTGAACAAATAAATTACATTTCCTCAATACCATAAACAAATAAAAATGCTTACAATATGGTGCGGTCACCAAAACATTTACAAAAACTAATTATCATTCTCATTTATATTTACTTTTACACAATCCTTGATAATATTGAACTTATATATTGTGACATCTGAAAAGCACGTTAAATCAGCTTTAAAATTACTAATTTTTTAACATTTCACAATAAACACTGATTCAAATCATTGCTAGCAGTGAAAATGGTACTGTGTAATTTTGACATAAAGAATAATATCCATAATGACTATGCACTGAAAACAAAATTAATTCAACCTCATATTATCTAGTACTTGTATATTTTAACTTTCATATTTTTTCTGAAAGTTGTAAACTTCAATGAAAACTAAATTTTACAGACAAAAAATGAGTTACATTTTACAATATAGGTAGAATTCTTTGTTGCAAACAATTTTAATTTGAACACAACAATAAATAGCATGGTTATAACAAGAAAAAAGCGTCAGACCAAAAATATTTTTTCAGACTATGTGGTCCATAATCAGCTCCTGCAGTCAAAATGGGTATTTACACTTGCTTCAAGAAAGTTTTCAAAACAATGGAAAATTTCTATTGTAAAAATAGAAACTTGGTAGGCAGAACATTACCATAGCAATCAATATTCACACTACCAGATTAGCCAGCTATTATTAGGACATTACTTTTGACCTCATGCTGGTATTCACAATTTGGTACTTTCAACTACCATCTTAGGTAGTTTAAAATGTGACATATTCATATAAAAGTCCCCCTAGCTTTTCATAAAAGCAGAAAATTAAGTTTGTTGGTGGGTTTGAACAACTTCTTTAGACGATTCTAAGGTTTTCATTTATAAAAAATTATATTTAATTAGTTTCAAATTAATCAATCAATTAGACTGACTACAGGTATTTAACAAAGAATGACTGTCAGCCACTGTTTGCAGATTTAACACATTTCTCATACCACCATGGATCAAGTTCAAAGAATGTTTATAGTTTACACTTCAACACAATTTATATTTAATAATTATCATTTGAACTAATTTTAGGTCAATTTTGATTATAAATAATTTTCATAATCCACAAGATAACTTTTTTTTATCAATTCTTACATTGATCAGAAATGCATGAATAACTTTTTAATATTTCTCTACAGAAATAAAATGAAAATATTTAGCAGGAGAATTACTCATCTTCAGAACAGATATGTACATACTTGTTATAAATATAGAGAAATTGATAAAACACTATACAAATTACAAAACTATTTGTACAAATCAAAAATTAACAAAATATTTACAATACAAATGCAAAAGAGTCAATTATTTTGGGAGAACCAATTCTATTCGAAGAACTGCCAAGATAAAATAAATATATCCATAAAATTAAACCTTTTAACACCATCACTCACAGTAAATTGATAACCCCTTTTTTTTATAAAAATAAGTGTAAGTGCTACAGTCATTGCACTGTGTCCAATGCGATTTTTATAAATTGTGTAAAGTTTGAAACAAAATATATATGGCACAAGAAATCCATTTTTGTATCAATTTTGAATGACAATGGTTTTATGACTATTATTTGTCATAAAACAATTGTCATTCAAAAAACATAACATTTAAAAAGAGATTCCGAGAATGACAGTTGAGTAAGAACAGACATATGTTAATATTTCCTAAGTGAAAACATGTGCATGATTTCATAGAAGTACCATAAAATCTGTATTAGATAAAAGCCACATTTCTAATATAAGTTGCTCTCATTCTTTTTGAACAATTGAGAACCAAACATTTGTACACATGTGTACATATGTGTAGATGCTCTAATAGAAGTTGAATTGTACCATTTTAATAGAAGCCACAACTTCTAATACAGATTTTACAGTACTCAGATTCAGCCAATAATTTACTCTGGTATGTCAGTCACATTATTTCAAATTTACCAAAATGGTGTAAATTAGAGAGAATAAAAAGAATTAATATTTTGCACATTTTCATAAACTACCAAGGACAGAAGTTTGGTTATGAACTGAGAGAAATTTAAATTAGATAAATTACTGTTGAGATAAACATCAATTTAACATAGCCCTTACTAAGTAAATTATTGGATAACTACACACTAACAAATCAACACTATGGTATTCAACACATTATGAACAGCAGTGGTTGTTGTAATGTGTCACAATTGGTCCAATGTAAGATGTACGTAAATAAAATGTTGGGAAAACTCCTTCATTTTCATTGCAGGATTTTATGGCATTCAAGAAAACAAATTATTGTGAATGTCACTGGCCTTCCATGTCATAGGACACCAGACAATTAGTCACTGCTACAATATTTTGAGATTTCCATAATTTGTCTCAAGAAATTAAAACTATTTACACAACATTTTCATATGAAATTGAATGTATAACTACACAAAGACCAACACCTTTCATTATGACTTATTTGCTGATACCACAGAAATTCAAGTGACTTTTTTTAATTGCATCATGCATACTTTATAAGTAGTTTTAATAATACTGTAAACTGCTTCATTTTCATATTTTTAGAATTTTTGTAATTTAATATTTTATGGCATTCATGAAAACAATTTTTTGTGAAAGTCACTGAAATTACAACAAAATTTTATGATTTTTATTTGTCAATCGTGAAATTAAAGCAGTTTTTGCACTCGCATATTGATTAGATAAATTTACTAATGGTAATGTGAAAGTCAGTAGAACCAATCAGTGTATACAAATCTACACAGTTGTAATGTTTCCAAGAGACACGTTCAACATGTTTAATAGACAGAGATTGATGTACAATGACTAAATTACTGCAAAGTCTGACCACCCGATTGGGATGTTAATATATAATTCAACTTTGGCTACACTATTGCAGTTCTATCAGGATTACAAATTTAGAGAAAAGTGAAATACAGACTCTTGGAACATATCTCGTCTTAAAACTGTGCACACAATCAAACTAATGATTCATTCACAATAACCAAAAATTATTTTTAGTGAAACATGATGCTACAATGACTTTCACATTTCAATATAGAGACTTTGATCAGAATCATTGTGAACTAGTTTTCCCTCCTCAGCAACTACATCAGAGAGTCAAATGAGGCACAGTTGATAGGCACTTTATTATAAACCCAGTTAGGGGGTTACAAATCATATTGTAAACTAGCATGTGTGGAAATCGAGTCCCACGCGACAATAACAACGCACACTCAAAACAGAAAGGCTCATGGGTAGATGCTTGTTTGTAAACAGCGACCCGGTATGGACGTCTGTCACATGCGCAGATGCTTTAGCTAGTTTAGTTTTATTTAGTTTGTTATAGTGAAGTGTTCACTATATAAGCACATAATACTCTGGGTTTGTTACGAAAATTCATTATAAAGGTGTTTATTATAACAAGGTTAGATCTGATGAACTAAGCCATTCCACGACTGGACAATGACCATCATGATAATCCTATCGCTGGTGGTTTATACATTGATCTCCATAGCGCCAGTTACCTACTAAAAACACTGACTGTTGACATGGATTCAAGTATAAACATTTGGAACTTTCTTTTTCCAAGTTCCCTAGAAAATCTCAAAAACAGAAAATAAGAAATATCAAGAGAACTTTAATCCTAAAATTATTGAAACATAGATCCCTCGATGAAATCCGTGGTTTTCTACAAATTAGTGAATTGCCACAAAGAGGTCGTTGTAAAACAACGCAAGAATCATGCATTATTTATTTTGTTGTACTGTTGTAGGTATCCAAGTGGAATCCATTTAGTAGAAATTGAGATAAAAAACTTACTGTCCATAAACAAATTGGCAGTACCAGGCAGCACCATGCATGTACATATGACAACATTATATTTCAGTAAGTACAAGACAAAAGACTGATTTGAATTTATTGTTGCATAAACTTGTCAGCAAATTTCAATGAGGTAAACATAATTCTGCAGTATTGTCATGGAAGGCTATATTGTCACTGTCTAAGTCTGATGGCGGCAACAGAAGAAGGTTTGATGCAGAAATTCTGAATAACAAATCAGTCTCTCCCAATTTCCCAGCAGGACACCAGAGGGCACTTCAAAACTCCAGCATGCTTGTTTGTAGTTCGCGTAGATTTTCTGATTTTAATATATCTCTGTTAGCTTTGGATATTTTGAAGAGCACAGGACAATCCATTGATACACATACAAGAGTAGGATCATTGCTTCCACAACAGTTATAGCAGATCTGCAAAGAAGAACAGTTAATTATTAATTGTTGCTGAAAGGAGTCACCTACATTAAAAATTGGCGCGGAGGGAAGAGCAGGAAATCAGGGAAACTTGAGGAAAAACAAGCAGCCTCTTGGCTGAGATAGCTCCGCTGTTACCAATGCACTTTTCAATTAGAAGTCCACCTGAGGTGCCTAAATGTATAATATCAAAGCAATCAGACTTGCAGTTTTTAACAAGAAGTCAACAATATCACTTTTTACCAAAAATTATAAAAATATTCATCAAAATTAGAGAATTGAAGATATTATCACAAAATATGAGAGAGGTCCACCTATCAGACATGCAGTAGAGAATATCAGTTTTTACCAAAAATGACAAAAATATTCATCAAAATTAGAGAATTAATTTGGAATTCAGTGGTCTCATGTGAAATATGACAAGTCATCTACTCAAGTAATACAACAGTGTAGAAAAATGAATCTTGAAACTTGCTTGCTAATATTTGGCAAATTTTGACAAGAGAATACTGTAGAGGTAGAATACGATTATGACGTATAAACTTTTCCACAAATAAAAGATTTTGATTGATAGATGCATTACCTTAGATAAATTGTAGTAATTCTGATCCCATTCATGTATCTTTGTATTCAACACCACTGTGACTCTCTGAGGGTCTGTCTGACATGTGCTGCACAACAATTGTTGAGTTAATTCACCGCATACTGGACAATTCATGGCATTGAAGTACTGGGATATAGTACCCTAAATAGACAATTATAAAAACTATTAGGTAAGAATATAGAGACTAAAGAATGCATTGTACCTGGATGCACTGTGTATGATAAGGATGCTCCAAATTAAAACACCTTAGACAGGAATTTTCCGAAACTTTGCTGAGTTATTGCTTGTGATGGGCCATGTAAAAATCTGACAACAAAACTTTGGGTCACAAAATAATTTCAAACTATAGTTTATGTATCGGCACCAGAGTACAGTTTATACCTTTGAGTGCCAAATTTTTGTTCCTGCTTAAATTCAGATAAATTTGTCATTTTCTGTAATTTTCACTGCATTCAATCTCAATTTTTGATAAAAATGTAGAAAACAGCAGACTATAAATAGAACTATTTTGTGGATGGTGCCTGAAGTTGACTTTGGTGCTCAGAGGGTTAAGCTTGGTGGGAGATCAGAGATTGCTTCTCAAGTATTAGGTTAAACCACTTCTGTTTTATTTGTTCTTTGTCATTTAATTGATGCGACTTTTTCATTTGAAGCAGAATACAAATCTAATGTAGGGAAAGGCTTTGGTTGATTTTTGGTTATGTTTAATCAGCTCATCTCTGGTGGTATTTTTCAAAAGTTTACCTTAGTTACCTTACTATACATATTCTAGTATTCATTGTGGTTGTTCAATCACTGTAAACTCAATTATTGCAACATCTTAACAAAACAGTAACTATACAAATCTGACAATTTATTGTAATTTAACAGGTTGAATGTACGAAAGTAAAACAGTATGTCTAGTCTTAGTAAAAATCATTCAAAGCAATACAAATTATACATTTGACAATACCTTTCGGAGTGACGTCTGTCCACTAAAAGAAGGTACTTTCATGACTTTTGGCAATTCACTATACCAAGTGTTCACATCAATCCCCATCATAGAAAACACCCGATTTAATGGCGGAAGAATCTGTTTACTTATATAGTATGTTGCATTTAATCGTAAATTACTGTCCTGTAAAACTTCCACAGGTCTTCTCACCAGCTGTATTAAAGGTAAACCTGGGCTTCCATATACAATAACATACGGAACTCTCTCACCGACTCTGGGCTCTGCACAACGGTCTACAGATAGCAAACGTCTGGAAATAAACAGAGTAATCAGATTTATAAAGGTGGTATATATAAATAACCATATTCCAGCAAACATGAGACAAATGTTTAAGCTTGACATTGAGAAATACTGGAAATTACAATAGCTTATTTGGTATCCAACAAAACTTGAATGTTATTCACATTGTTTTCAATTAGCAACAGCCAAAATAGGGAATAAAATGTCATTCAAGAATCAAAACAAATTTTAATGCACTTTTCTAACACAATAATAATTTGTCTTTTAATTTTAATAATAATTGAGAACTCAGATAGCATTTGCAGATAAGGTGTTACTGTTACTTACTTGGATATTTCCAGTGCAGGTACACATGCACCAGGCCTATACCCTGCCATGCCACGGTACTCCTTAGCAAATATCAAATCCTGCATTCCAACACGGCCTTCAGATATCTTCTGAAACTGATGCTGTACAAACTTCTTTACTTGCGACACATCTTTTGTATTGAACAGTAGTTTTAACGACCTCTCCAGGATCTGCCAATTTAAGAGAATTTAAGTTTGAAGCATAGTAGATAAACACTATACAGAAATGAAACATTTCAGATAACATTGACTAAAAACAAGCCATATTCCTGTGGGAACAATACGTTGCGGTTATGGAAATATAACGAAATATAGTATGCAAAATTATCTGCTACACAACCAGCACCAATCACCACAGAAGAACGACTTAATAAAAATTCAGAATTTATTCACTAACAGAAAACCCGCTGGCAATCCGTAGACTTACAACTGGATATCAACGATATAACACAAATTGTAAGAATGATACAGAATTGGCAGTATGCCCTTGATATACATCGATAAACTCTTGACCGTGTAAGAAAATTAGTGGGAAAACTTCTAATTGGATGAATATAAAAATTGAAACAAAAGAACACACTGTGGTGGTTTCTACCACGTTCGCATTTATGTCGTCGTCCCACTTCAGAATCCGTATTTTGCAACATGTATAAGTCAGAATACAGTATTATTGAACTTGTATAAAACGAAATGAATAAAGCGAATAACAAATATTGCATGTTTCAATTACAATGCTTCACAGATAAATGATTCAGAAATTACTTCGACAATTCCCCTGAAATTGTGTTTATTTACCAGTATATCAATTGTCGTACATCGTGATAGAATGAATCAAAATGAAAGTTGTTTTGTCACTAAGTTAAATAAATGCAAGCATATACTGTTTCTATTACAAACTATTGCATTTAAACCTAGTGAATATATCTATTAAATCAAAGGACAAAAATTTAAACACTTACAACAGTAGACAGCCTATATTTTTTTTACAAAACTGTATATAGGAATGAAGAAACAAATTTGCTGTGTCTTATTACCTTGGCAACAGCTTGACAAGCATCTCTTCTAACTGTCTCAATACCCTTGGCATCAAAGACAGGTTCCTTCTGATCTTCAGTCTCATAACTATAGCCAACATATCTCTTCTTTGTTTGTAGAACACAGGGTAAATATACCTGGAAAACAAACATGACTCAAATCAACATCCTGATAATACATCACATCACATGCTTGATGTGTTGCTGAGTTACTGCTGTCATTGAATTACACAGATTGAAGATATTTTTTTCAAATCACGAACTGCATAAAAAGAGTTTGTATCAAAAATGTGATAGCGTAGATGTAGTTCTAACAATTAGCATCACAGACTGCAATGGATGCTTGAAAATTTTTGAGATAGTAAACGGAAAATAACTAAAAAATTGCCGCATTCAGAATGTATGTAATACTCGCTTCGCGAATATGCACCAACACTACCTAAAACAGTCTGAGAGAATGTGAACCTTTGACTTCATAGACTCACCAATTTGCAAAAATATAGATTTCTCTTGCAATTTGTGATCATACTACAATTCACTCAACTCCATCAATTCACATGTGATCCTCATTTCACACTAGCCAAATTTTACGTATCATGGATACCGACTATATGCCACGTTTAGATTCAGTATCAAACCTCAAGAGATAGCAATGAAACTACTAAATACCTTTTCAAATTTTAGCTTCACAGGTTTTGGATTATCGGCTGTCACTTTAGCTGCTATTTCGTGTCCAATCTTGAAGGCTTCATCTTTACTTCGACCTTTCAACAACACAAACATACTATAGACAAAATAAGTTTAAGCTATAATAACATGATATTGTAGCACAGTAATGTCCTCATGTCCATGCTCAGTGAGAAGGGCATTTAATAACAAAATTATGTGGGGTTTATATTGTTAATAATGAAAAAGTTGAATATAGTGATAGCCCCCAAGCTCATATGTATATGTTGGTGTATTAAGAAAACAGTGACCCAAAATATTTATATGCTTACCCAAATTATCCCCCTTCTCCTTAAGCAAGTATGCTTTATACTGTAGAATACTGTGGAATACTTCATTTTCGCTGGAATTAATTTTCGCTGAAATTATCTCTTCCGCGAAAATAGCAAAAATAAATTCCAAGCGAAAATAAAGTACTATAGAATACTTTATTTTCGCTTGGAATTTATTTTCACAATTTTCACTGAAAGGATGATTCAGTGAAAATAAAATCCAGCGAATATACTTTTTTTGCTATATTTCACATTCAACTCATCAAAAATGAGTGAAAATAAATTCCATACAGAATGCCCAAAAAGCCTTTTCAGCGAAAATTAATTCTAGCGAAAATAAAGTATTCCACAGTATTTACAATTAAATGCTTTTTTAGAAGCTTTTCAGTTTTTCTCAATGCCTAAATTGACCCTGACTGGTACCTCAGGAAAAATGAGATGATTACCTATCAGTATCTCCATAGACAACTTTAGCTCCCCATTTTGGTGTGTTTTCTACCAGCTGTATGGCTCTTTCTAGAGTTTCACGTCCTTTTCTTACAACACTGTCACCAATCTGAAAACAATTACAATGGTCTCAGTTATAATTAATTATGTGAACACATTAACAAGGGAGATTGAGCCGAGAGTCAGCAACTCATGAAAACACAAATAAAAGTTAATTTATTTTCACGAGAGATCGTCATAAAATGTTGGGAGGAAAATATCAGTTCTTCAAGCAGGTAGTAAAAACAACTCTTTTCAAAGTTACAGCAAGACCATTAAAAACCTTCATAGTTTTGCCCTACACTTTTTTTGCAGGATGATTTAGTAACATTTTAATTTATGCTTTTATCTATTAAAAGAGCAACTGTTTTATAATTAATACATCTTTTTTTCAGTCATTTGACCCAATCACAGGATTTTTTTCTTATTCACATTTTACTCAGTGCACATTTTTTTTTCTCCAAGTCACTATCTTCTCTCTCTTGGTCATCTTAGTCAGCACAATTTTCTTATAATTTATTTATTCATCATAATTTTGTTCAAATTTTTCACTTATGGACATTAGTGATTTCATTGTCTTACCTCAATCAATGGCATCCTACCAGAGAAATTAGCAGAGGTATAACCATATGTCACATTAGCAATTAATTTCAATCCAAGCTGACGAGCATTTAGCAGTCTTTCTAAACCCTGTGAATGAGTTAATTCATTGATACTTTAGATACAACAGCACACATTAAACAAGCAGCCTCTCGACTGAGATAGCTCCGCTGTTAGCAATGCACATTTCAATTAAAGAACAGAAGATATCATTAGAAAATGAACAATATGTATAGTATCAATGCAATGGGACTTGCTGTTTTCAACAAAAATTCAAAAATATAATTTTTAACCATAAATGATTGTGGTTTTTAACAAGAAAATATCACATTTTACCAAAAATGACAAAAATATTCACCAAAATTAGAAAATTAAAGATATCATCATGAAATGAACAAATTTGAGAGTGGTCCACATGTAGTACCTATATATGTAATATCAAAGCAATTGGACTTGTGGTTTTTAACAAGAAGTCGAAAATATCACTTTTTACCAAAAATGACAAAAATATTCACCAAAATTAGAAAATTAAAGATATCATCATGAAATGAACAAATTTGAGAGTGGTCCACATGTAGTACCTATATATGTAATATCAAAGCAATTGGACTTGTGGTTTTTAACAAGAAGTCGAAAATATCACTTTTTACCAAAAATGACAAAAATATTCAACAAAATTAGAAAATTAAAGATATCATTACAAAATGAACAAATCTGAGAGTGATTCACATGTAGTATCTATATAGGTAATATCAAAGCAATTGGACTTGCGGTTTTTAACAAGAAGTCGAAAATATAACTTTTTACCAAAAAATGACAAAAATATTCACCAAAGTTAGAGAATTGAAGATATCATTACAAAATGAACAAATCTGAGAGAGATACACATGTAGTACCTATATATGTAATATCAAAGCAATTGGACTTGCGGTTTTTATTAAGAAGTTGAAAATATCACTTTTTACCAAAAATGACAAAAATATTCACCAAAATTAGAGAATTAAAGATATGATCATGAAATGAACAAATCTGAGAGAGGTCTACATGTAGTACCTATATAAAGGATGCTTAATAACCGAGCTTATTACGTGCAGAGAACGTGCAACCCGTCCACGCGATCCGCGCCACACAGCGTGGCCAGAATGCGGCAAAGGCCTTCAGATCTGGGAAGACGTGTAGTGACGTGGAGCTAGGCGATTAGGTGCCGTACGCGAGCGCCGGTTCGAGTCACGCACGCAGTACGTGTTTACT